AAATGAAAGGCATAAACAAGATATTAATGAAAATAGAACTTAAACATTACAAAACTACAAAGAGAGAAAGCAAAAGCATGATCTTCATCTGGAAACCAAGATGTCTAAATACATGTCAATTACCTCTTTTTATATGCTAAAATTAGAAACTATTGATTTAATAACTAATTGATGAGTGGGTGACTAACTATTGACTTGGTAACAATCCTTATCTTCTTTTGTCTGCCAAAAATATCATTGATAACGTTAGAATTGGAACTACTTGAAAGCATGAAAGTTCTAGAAAATTGTGTTAGCTTTCTAGAAAAAACAATTGAGATTATTTGGACTTCTAAAACTCTAGATATGGGCCAAATACTGAACATTGTTCGGGCTGCAGGACATATTCGAACTTCTTTATTGTTGATACAATTTAGACTTGAAAATAGCATTTTTAAATCTTGGGCTCCCATGAAAGTTATAGGCCTATGTCTTACCTTTCCATCCATATAAAGTAAACCTAAATCTAAGATCTACAGCTTCAAATATGATCCAATTACCAAATAGTGTTTCGATTTGGACTACACCAGTATCTCTTTTCTAAGTTTGGTCATCTCTTTATCCTTTTAAGTTCAGTTCTTAAACTCATTGATCAATCTTTTTATTTATGTGATAGCCTACATTTAAAATGAACGTTTACATCAAATCAAAGATATCTTATATTATTAGATATATTATTATAAAACATGTTTTAGTTAAGGAGTTATTGATACTTCGAGTGCAAAATGATGATATAAAACCTTAACCGTGATAAAAATACACTTTTAAATACTAATCATATTAAAATATACATCTTCTTCCAACTTGTAAAATAACAAAAAGACTACAATTAAAATCTTCAAAATTTACAATTCACACATAAACTTACCTCTTTTTTTAATGTCAATTAGTTTGCCTATTTAACTTACCATTATAAAGAAAAAATTGACTTAGTTGTAAGGGAATTTGATTATAAATGTAATGGTTGTGAAAATGACATCCTAAAAGTGTTTATTTTGTCAAAATATTTTGGGCCTTTGGATTTTAAGCCATAGCAAACCATAACTCCTTTATCAATTGTCAATCAAAGTCCAGTCACAAAATTGTCTCTTATTGACGCAAAAATACAAATATCCCCTAAGTCATCTCCTTTAAAACCAATTCTAAGCAAGGTTGTCAAACTCGCGAGTTAACTTGTAAAATTGTTGAATTTTACAAGTTAACTTGTATATACCATGTACAATTGGGTTAGAAACTCAAAAATCAGTAAACTCAATCGAACTCGATCAAACTTGTCAACTTGGTTAACTCGAACTGAGTTTACGAGTTTGATAAACTCTTCAATTCTCTATCTATTTGTTAGTTGACCAATTCTTCAACTCTCTATTAATCTCTATGTTCATCTCAAACAGAAGAAAAACACCTAGGCTTAGAGTTCTAGAGAAGATTACTAGAAGCAACACGGTTCCAGCTACAAGAGAAGATGACACATTGTTCCACGCTGTGTGCATCGAGGTTGTTCAAAACCTTCAACATCAAGCCTCTATCAAGTTGATCTAATGGGTCTTGAGTTATTACTTACAGGGAAAGTGAGAAGATACAGTAGAGGGTGGTGAGTGGAGTCGGAGGAGAGAAGATGAGAGAGTACATCAAGGGCAATTGATTTTCGGTGATGATGCTACAAATTTCTTGATCAAACGGTAAGTAGCTGAAGTATCTCTTGTGGCAATGATTGGCATTTGAAAATATTGTATAGAAGAAACACTAGACTTGTTTGCCAATTGCTGCTAAACATTTAAAGTTGTTTTATTTAGTTGATAAATTCAAAAGTGGTGATGTTGGTTGTGAAAGAAAAGGTAATGGTTGTTGACTGTGGCTGAGATGGTTATGCTAGTTATGAATTGCGAAAAATAAGGTTTTATTATTTATGTTTTCTTTATTGTTATGTTGTGACTTATGAGATTGAGATTTTGCCCAGTCTCAGTGATTTACATTACTTTATGAATAAAAAATATCAATTAAGAAAATACAGAAGAAAAACACTTTGGATTTATTGATCTTTAATTATTTTTTTAAGTTTTAATTAATTTTTAAATTTTTAATGTATTAATATTAAAAATAAATTTTAAAAAATAAAAAATATATTATTTTACAATTTAAGTTTACAATTCAATTTTATATTATATATTTCATATCGTGTTATAAAAATGTGTTTGACAATTTTAATTCTAAGTTATTTTCACAAGCTTGCAAAGCCCATGACTAGTACTTTTAGCCATCCGAGTAGCCATCATCATATGCTGGCTTTATGTGGGTTTGGGTATTGGATGCAGGGCTTTAGGTGTTTTCCTTGGTTGGCTCTTAGCTTCCATATGGCGAAAGAAGAGTAGTGATGTTGGAGTTGGCTATGAATGGTTTTCCTTAGGGTTTTATTATCATTATTTTTTTTATTTAATAATAAAATTATAATATTTAATAAGTTATTTTTTATGCATTTAAACTATTATAAACAATAAAATATAAAATGTAACATTAAATTTTCAAGATGGTCTCTCTAGTAGGTCCTTCCTCCATATTTTAGGGGAAATTAGAGCTTGACTTAAATAAGGTTGTCGGAAATTAATCCTTTTAAATTTGGATAATCAAAAAAATCAAGTCATGATCTAAATTAAATTTTAATAACATATAATGATGTAAATTTCAATACATATCTTTTAATTAAAAATATATGATTTTACTAAAAAAAATATAAAATGATTCTAGTTTAAGATAAATCTAGTTAATTTACAATAACAAGTTGGTATAATAATAAAGTGTTTAAAAATATAATAATAACTAATTTTTAAAATATTATTAAGTAGAAAATAAATTAAAATAATATTTTTTTTAAAAAATATTTTTAACAACAACCTATTAAAACAATTCAACAAGTTTATTTTTGTATTTTAAAAATATTTTTGAAAAATTTTATATTTTTTTAATATTTTTAAATTATTTTAACTCGTTAATATAAAAAATTATTTTAAAAAAATAAAAAATATATTATTTAAAAATATTTAAAAATTAAAAAAAATAACCGAACAATATTTTTAAATATCTATTAATAAGAGAAAAAAAAAAAAACGTCACAACTTTCTATGACATGGCATGTAATATTTAATCTTAGCAGTTTTATTATATCAAGGACGACAGTTTTATTATACCAAGGACGAAAGGCTTGCTGGAACAATACACGGTGGCACCAGCAAACAGTCATCAGCCAGCCACAAAAGTTGTTGTCAACACCATTCATTAACAATATAATATTTACATAATCTCGTATCATCTTGAGATGGATAAAACAAAGATCGGAGACGCATCCACATCGCACAGTGAGTCAACTCATCAAAGGAATCAGCCTACTTAAGCAAGGAGGAAGGGAGAGAAGCCGCAAGGGAACCGTTAATTTTGGTGGCTTGAAGTTGCAAGGGAGGTAGCTAGGCTGAGGCTGAGGTTGCTGCTGATCATGACTAACAGATTGAGAAGATACCTTAAGATAAATTCTCTATCGTCAAGCAGAAACTGGGATGGTAAGCTATACTATTCTATAATTACATCATCAACTCCCCATGACATACAATTGCTTAATTACTACTAATTTTTTCTTTGAACAGAAGAACCATCTGCCGCCAAAACCAACCGTCTGGAGTGGCTCAACATCAACATTAATGGTACTGTTTCCAGTTGTTTTATTACTACTTGCTTAAAAAGACTACTAGTGTTTCATGGTCAGGTTCTCAAACCAAGTACTGGGATGCTGTGTTATATATACTACTTTTATGGCTACTTCAGAATGCTTGGAACAACCCCGTATCATTGATATATACACAAGCAGAATACATTGATGATGTAGAAAATGCGAGCAAAATAAAAATGAAAAAACCAATTAATAATAATATCATCTTTTTTTTCTGTTGTTTTTAGAGAATTCAACTATTTTAGAGGAGATTAGGAGGGCACAAAGGCCAAAATGGATATACGAAAGGTGGATGGTAAGGTACTGAAGGAGAAAGATCGGGAGTTCATATATTCACATAAGGTACTTCACCCTGGAGCCCAGTTTCCTTTCTTATTACAAAAGGATACCGCAAGATAACAAGGTAACTATTTTTTTTTTTGGTTAAATTTGCACTAGTTCTTTAATAATCCCCAAAGTTTATTTCGAATGAGTTTCTGGAATAAAAAACTGTATCTTTTTTAAATGGATTTTTGTATGTTTGGAAACGAGAATGCAGGTATGATATTGAGTGTTAAAATCTGTCTATTTTAAATTAGGTTCCAATCAAGACCCTTTTGATTGATGGCAATTGTAGGGTAGAGGATACATGTTTGAAGACTCATCAAGGACATGTGAGTTTTTCCATTCAGATATATAACTATGCATAGTTTTCTAATATATAGTATCAATAGCAGCTTCAATAAACATCATACTTTTTTATCAGTTTCATTTTTAAAGAATTGGAAAGTTGATGAATTTCTTTTTTGAGTACTGGAAGTTGACGAAATTTAATGGGGTTGGAAATTATGTATGTTTAAGTGACTTCATGGTGATGAAGATAGTTAAATTGATGTGCATTACACTAATGCACATCAATCCAATTTCGTTCCAAAACATAAATAGAAGTGGCGGCATTTCCCAACTATTTTGGTATGCAGATTAATTGGATTAGCCTCCATTAGCAGATAGGCTTCACACTAACTTTGTATTTGTTCATGTGAATGTGGATGTGTTTTGTGTTGAACTGAATGTTAAACAAACATTCCAAATGCTTTTTGGGATTTTTTTTTTAACCTAATGAAACTGCATCTTTGGAAGTTGGTAATTGTTTGGGTTTTTGTTTCAATTACTGTTGGAAAATTAGTTTGCTGTTGTCACTCTGGTGACTTTGCCTCTCCTTCCTCTCTTCCTCTTTGAGTGGTCCCTTTTTCATGGACAACCAGCTTTAGGGAGCTAGTGGTATCTTAATTAGCTGTGATGTAATTTTGCTGATGGAAGAGTTTCAATGTAACTTGAATCTTCAAGTTAACCTGAATATTGTTTTCATTTCTGCGGATGATTTACACTCTATCTGTTTACAACAAGAAAGAAAAGAATAATGCAATAACAGTGAGTAGTCTTTGCTCTCAGTTTCTGAAATTCTTAATGAAGATAATATCTTTAGTATCTGCCTCGGAAATAAGCAAAAACAAGATCTTTGTCTGAATACAACATTCTTAACCTTTTGCACTTCCTTATCTTGCTGAATTTGTTGTGGCATCTGAATTATTTGTAGAAAATGTTGATCCTCATGTGCTGTTTTCTTATTTCAGTTTGTGGCATATGACATCCAGGAAGCACTGATCTGGAAGGAAAAAATTGAATCTCTAATTGATCAGGTCTCTATACTTCAGAATGTGTAAACTTTGTTATCTCCCAGTCCTTCGATAGCTTTTTCTCCTTCTGAGTTTTGGTTTGATTCACTGGTAAATATAGGTGTTAAGTCCTGGATGAAACATCCTTGGTTAACCATAAGATGTTCCATTGACTCTTTATTCAACATTTTCAGTTTCTATACACTGACTGGAATGATGATGCATGTAAGACTTGTTGCATGATTTGGTTGCAGCATAACACTGTTAGTGATAAATATGCCTTATACATGGATCTGGTATGGATAATGGGGTGACTGCTAGTTCATCAGAAAATGGAAGCCAGTGACTGCCTGTTATATTTCTCTGCTAGTTTGGCTGAAAGTTGATGCCTTCATAGCATTATTTTCTGCCTGCTTTGGTAAAACTATGTTGATACTGGCAAACATATTCTGTATTTTAAGGGAATAAATTGTGCAGCAGTTCACGTTCATCTATCTTTATTAAAAGAATTTCATTACATTTTAGGTCAGACATTTTCTACCACTACAATATTCCAGCAATTGATGTTAGATTCATCAACAATTTGAACTGCTATAGTAGCTAGTTTTATCAGCTGCTCCAACTGCTATGAACGTTTGGAGGCAATTGTCAATAAAAAGGCTGAAATCAAGCATACAACTGTAAATGCTTAAATAGAAAATTTACCCAATAAAAAGGCTGAAATCAAGCATACAGCTGTAAATGCTTAAATAGGAAATTTACCTTACTATATTTAGCTTCCTAGATTTCCTCTTTGTAATTACTATGTACAGCACAACAGCACTACTTTTCCTATATATAATGAAAGCCTAGTCGAAAGGTAGGGGCAATTCAAACAAATCTGATAGCAATATGCATGTGATTTCTGAATTGTCTGCAGGTTTGGTGAACATGAGGGTGAAGACGACACTCATACAAATTTGTTCCGGAGAAAAACAATTGGAAATGGTTTTCATGATTCCTTTCATGGAATTCAACTTATTCATTCAATCTTTTTCCAGTTCTCCTTTAGTTCCTAACTGGCATTTTCTCCTGATTCAGTAGAGGACCGGACACCAGAATGTGACTCAGAATTGCCAAACCAGACTGCTAACAACCAAGCATTCCCTATAAATCATTGGCGTCTTCTAAAATGCCAAAATGGTGACCTATTTCTCATAGCTTTCTTTCATTGTTTAAAAGTTCAAATATAGAAGCACATTAAAGACTTGAACTGGGACTTTGATTGCTGGCTACGTTATGGTGGTATAGATGAATTTATAAGTTTTATTTGCTGTACATACGACGGGACTCCGCATTTTTGAAGAGCTTACTAAAACTGATTACCTTGTATGGAATCATTTGTTCATTTGCTTTCTGTGTTAGACTTTAGTTTGCCATGTATGAGGCTGTAATTGGTCTTGCCACCATTTATTGTTTACTTGATGCAGCTGAGGAGCTGCAGTCAAGCAATGAAGGCTGTAGGTATTGTTAAGGCTACATGTGAAGAAATATTTGAACTTGTAATGAGCATGGATGCAACACGGTTTGAGTAGGTTTTTTTTTTGTTTTTCCTTTTTCACCCCAGAACTTAATATGATGGTTGAGAGACCCTGTTAAATGTGTGCTTCCCCCTGTAGATTGATGCACTGCTGTGTGCATAATATGGTGTTAAATTCTACCTATAGGCAATTTACTTGTATCTTTAATTCTTAATGTTTTATTAACTTGACTTATTCATGAAGAACTCCTGCAAATACTTGAAGCGAATTGCTGTTTGGTATATATGATTTTACACTATGTTCTTCATGCACTTTGACAATTCATGAATGATATTTTTCTTGCCTTTTGCAGGTGGGATTCCACTTTCCAGCATGGTTCTTTAGTTGAAGAGGTAGATGGACACACAGCAATACTCTATCATCGTCTTCAGCTGGACTGGTTTCCAAAGTACTATCATCCCCTAGACCCCCACATAAATTGCTTCCTTGCCTATGTCAAAATAATGAATGCATTTCATATGGAGTGTTGTTGGTCGTGTTTTCTAGTATGAAATTTCCAAAATAAAGCCATAGAAAATCCATATTAAGCTATATATCCTAATATTTTCCCCCCTTCATTTCCAAGCCATGTATGCGCAATAATTAATTGTGTTATGAAAATCTAAGTTGCTCTCCAAGTAGGAGCATAAATCCGTCAAGGTTCAGCCTTTTTTCCTTGAGAAAGAATAAGTAGGATGTGTTTTACATAAGCTACATTGAACAGTATTTTTAAGATAACTATTGTGTATATCCATGTTTCAAGAGTGAGGTTCCTTTCGTTCCTTCAGAAATCACCTATTATCTTCTTCTGTCACTTACATATAAATGGGCTACAGGTTTGTGTGGTCCCGTGACCTTTGCTATGTAAGGTATTGGCGGTGAAATGATGATGGAAGCTATGGTAAATGTTTTTGCTTGTCCAAATCAATTTTGATCTTCTAACTTGTCACAAGCTTAACCTTCTTGTTATTGTGCAGTTGTATTATTTCGTTCTATAGAGCATGAAAACTGTGTTCCACAATCAGGTTATGTGCGTGCTCATGTTGAGAGTAAGTCCCAAATTCCCCCGTCCCTTTGGTTTGTGTATATGAATCTATTATCAGAGTTTCTGACAGTTCTTAGCTACGTTCTGACTTACAGGTGGAGGTTTCAATATTTCCCCTTTGAAACCTCGTAATGGGAGACCTAGAACACAGGTGCAGCATCATATGCAGATTGATCTGAAGGGATGGGGTGTGGGTTACCTTCCATCATTTCAGCAGCATTGTCTTCTTGAGATGTTAAATAATATCGATGGTGAGTTCCTTCTGTGATTTACTCACTGAAATCTGCCACTCTTGCCAGAAATTGATAGGTTTATTTGGCCTTGTTGTGCTTAAAAGTTAAGCTGCTTTGATCTATCATTTTCTAGAATAAAAGTGTTGTGGAAAAAACATTGAACAATTTATCATAGAAAAGCAGCTAAAAGCTAAGTGTGGAAGAAGCACTTCTTTCCCTGCTTCTCTTATTAACCATAGCAAGGAAAAACAATAGTACTGTATGCTAAAATTTCTCAACATTATAAATTGTCATTCTTATATGCTTTGCACTGCTTCCTCTCATCTGGAAGTCTGGGTTTGGGGCTGGGTTGTAGGTGCTAATTTTCCATTTGTTTGTTTCCTTCAATTATTTCCATTCTCATCAATATCACACCTTGTGGAATTTACCATTTTGTTTTTTTTTTTTTTTAGAATTTCATTATTGTTCAAATAGAGTTGATGCCAAAGGCTAAGAAGTAATGAAACATGTAATTGTCAAAAAAGACATGAAATATAACGGTTTGGCAAAGCCTACTCCATAAAACTTCACTATAAAAAATTGGAGATTACATCCACTAATCAAACACTACACAAATACCTTATTATTGAAAACCCGGTTACATCTAGAATCTTCACTACACAGCTACTAGGCCTCGCAAAGGCAACCATTTCACAAAACCCACAATGGCATACACCGAAGAATTGAATTATACTATCTAAGATTTGTGGTTGCCATTACACACCACCAATATTAGTGGTGCGCAAAAATTAGCCACAACACATGATATTTATACTTGCAATAAAGTCTAATTTTCATTAGGAAACATACTTCAAGTCCAGCTCCAACAAGAAAAGTCTCTTTTCGTAAACAAAATATATCAACACATTTCATTCTTGTTTAGGACACAACTCCATGCTTTTCCCAATCTACCCTAACCCAACTCCCCAATTTAAGCCACACCTCAACAGTAACTTGATGTTTTAATTCCTGTTTGGTCATTGAGTAAGCACTCCTTCAATCTCAATGCAGGGTTCATGGATATGTGCAACGAGTTCAGCATGACTAAGTTGCTTTCTATATTAAACCATGCAGGGTTCATGGATTATGCGCCAAAGTGTAGGAAGCACTCCATGTTTATTGGGAAAAGCAGTTGAGTGCAACTACATCCGTGGTCCCAAATACCTGGAAGTAAGTGCCACACAAATCTGTAACTGTGAATTGCTTGAACAATACATTAGCATGGTCTAAACTAGTTTTATGCATCTGTAGGTCGATGTTGATATTGGTTCTTCTGCTGTTGCTTCTGGAGTTCTGTGGCTTGTAATGGGCACAAGTCCAACATTGGTGGTTGACATGGCTTTCCTAGTACAGGTGTGTCATGCAGGAGGCTCTATTTCATAAAACCATCTTAGTTATTTATATGACCAGGAAGGCTACCAACTGAAATTACGGACAATGCATTCATACTCATGAGCAAGCTACAATGTTTAAGCGGACTAAGCCTTTATGATCACTTTCTAGGATTAGTATGCTATGTTGTAATAAAAAAAAATTCTCTAGGTTGTTCATTAGTCTAAAACTAGTTTCATCAACACTTTGAAAATATGAAAACCAAGTTTTGCTAGGAAATTTGTTTTAGAAGTTTTTACTTTAAGAGAGATTTGATCGATTGATAAGGTAAAACTGAAACAGGAAACAACTTAACTCAGTTATGATGCATAGTCACTGTCCTTAAATAATATTTCAACGAAAAAATGAAATGAAAAAACACACTTTGGATGTCTCTTTCAAGCTCCCTTGGTAATGTTGCCATTGCATGTGCATCCTTCCGTGTTCTACATTCATTGTAATGCTTCATCGCTCATTTCAAGTGGGGCTAAAAGTAGTTGCTATTAGTGTGAGAACCAGGGAATATTGCTCTGGCTGCATTTTAGTAATTGTTGGTATGGTAACGATGCAAGCTGCTCTTATGCTTTGAGATTTATGTATATATAGTGATGCATGGAGAGGCAATACTAAACCATTTACCGTGGATCTGTTAAAATTTTACCATTCTCCTTTTAATTTCCCCCTTTTTTACAGGCAAATACTACAGAAGAATTGCCAGAGCAGTTGATTGGTGCTGTCCGTGTCTCTCACATTGAGCTTTCATCAGCTATGGTTCCCAGATTGCATCCAGATTCTTCATGACTAGCAGAGATCATTCACTATTTTTGACAATAAATCATTTCTTCTGACTTAAATATGTAAGTGTTTTATCACAAAAAGATATATATATGTGTGTGTGTGCGCGCGCGTGCGCGCGCGCGCATGTGTTTCATTCCAATTTCATGAGTTGTTTTGTATTGATCAAGAGTAGGCAAAAGTACAAAACTACTGAATAAGATGATGGCAGGGGGGGAAGATTTATCATCCACCAGCGTAGAAGGATGAAATTCCAAGATAACATTATGACATCAAATCATTGTAACATGAGATTATGGTTCAATAAATTGAGTGGTATTCAAGAAAAAGGCTGGTGGAGGTCATGAAAAGGGAGAAGTGGTGCTTTCAAGTTTCTTGACATATGGTACCCACTGGATGCGAGAGAAGCTCATCTGGCTGCATGTTTTGGTACAGGAAGCTTATTCTTGAAATGGACTTCTGATCGGCGGAAAAAGAAGTCCTTGCTCTTTGAGAGTAAGAAAAAGAAAACAATTATGCACGCATTTTCTCATTCATGAATTTATGGAAATATTCATCTTTCGGTCGAGCATTAGTAGGTTTTTTTAGTCAAAAGGTCTATTCAATAATCTTACTTTTAATGGTGATTAACTTGACTAGTCATAAGGCAACCCTTTGACAAAACAGAGATTAAGCATGAACTAGCCAGTTTGCAGGATCAGATTGTGCTTGATTGAGAATCAAGATTTTAGTATCTGCATTGGAGTAGAAAATTGTCTGAAGTTTCTACACCAGGAGAGGACGTTCTGCAATTTGAGAAGAGAATTGGTAGCCAAGAATGTACATGGGTGTAGCCCGAATGATCAAGGGATCAGTTTCAGAGATCTCCTACAAAAAAAAAAATTAATAACAAGGCGTTGCTGTGAAATATAGTTTCTCAATTTACTAGATCCTCAGGATGATTTTTCAATGCTTCATGCTGGATTCCTGAAAAAAGATGCCAATGGGGTTTAATACAGTGATAACTATCTGATTGATCTACCGGTTCAAATTTTTTAAGGGGCAAGTCTGGAACAGCATTTGCTTCAGCTTCAATAGTTCTAAACACAATCTACCTCGTCTTCAGCAGCAGGAACAAGTTCAATATGATGTGAGGCGTGAAACTTGCTAGAAATGGTATACACTGGAGTTCTGAAACCAAATTACTAACGAAAGCACATTTAAGGACTCAACAAGGAGATAACAATTCAAGAAGAGTACACATAGACATGCCAAGTGTGGCTATTTTCATGTAAATCAAGGGATTACATCAACAGCCAACTCCTTTCTTACCCTTGTCAAAGTATGACTTATATGTATTCTTCACGTCGTCCCTGTGCCAAGAGCATAAGCATTGCCAAGAGCATCGGGAAACGATAAATAATCAAGGAATATTGTTGAAACCAACCAAAATGTTCTGCCACATGCATGCTTAAGGGAATCAGGACCAACTTGAGCAGATATGGTGAGCTTATCAAATCACACCTTGTGATGCTGGGCCCTGTATGACACCACATATTTGATTGTAGGGTTTTGATGGTATGCAACTATTGTTGAAACAAAGACAAAAGGCGCAATTTTTGCCTTGCTGCATCAAATATGTGAATATCGTTTCCTGCAATTACAAGAGGAAAGAAAGCTCTCACACACTGTGAATATTGTTTCCTGAGTTTTACCTGGAAACATGCATAATCAAAGGTTAGTAGGTTATACATGTGAAGGTTTGGGAAAGGAAACAAACAAGAGAATTCCTGACTATCAGTAGCTTGTTTAGCAGATTGTCAGAACTCAGGAAAACTAGCATGTGGGTCGATGCTTTGGTTTGATGCTCCAAGCTTTATTTGCCTAGTTGATGAGAACTTCGTCTCTTCCTATTTCTGGGATGGTTCCGGCACTGGAGTTTGGGAACACAAAAAGAATTAATTTTGGAATTTTGGAATTTCCCATAACATTGTTAGATTCATATTGGAACTCAAGTTTACACACTGTTTTCATGGCATCCAGGCTCATAACACGTTTCGATATGGTGGATAGTCTGAAAAGCTCAACAATCTCTCTATGTATTTTAAATGCCTACCAATCAAGATCTCTGCGTCTGACTTTTGACTCTATGAACTTGTGCTATGGGATATTCGTTAATTGTTTTAAAGTAATATTTTTATTATTATTATTAATATTGATGTCTAGACATCTTCATTAATCCTATAAAACTCTGTAAATAACAACCATGCAAAGCTTTAATGACCCTAAAAGAACTCATTTTGAAAGCAATAATACTTTCCTTCACGAGAGATGGTTTCAGTTAGAGGATGTAGTGAAGGGAAAATAGACAATTCAAACCCAAGCCCTAATCCTCTCTTGAAAAATGGACGGGGGCGGCTTATAAATATATCATCTAGAAGGAAATGAGAATTATCTTCAGATTTTAGAGTCACTTTCCTTGACTTTGAGAGGAAATACCATTAAAAAAGAATACGTTGATTTTTCTTCTTCGACAAAGACACCGAGAGCCAAATTCATGAAGAACTTTCGTTAACGTATTTTGACCATTTACCAAAATTCACACGAGATAACCTTCACTTTCATCTTATAAATACCACCTCTACTTATCTCATACATGTACCGCAAAACCATCCTTAACTCCAAATATTCTACTCCTTGTCGATCTTCTCTGTTCATTCTATCTATTTATTATAATGGGTGTCATCACTTTGGAAAATGAATTCCTCGTTGCTGTGTCTCCAGCCAAGCTTTTCAAGGCATATTGCCTTGACACCGACGCTCTTATGCCTAAAATTCTACCAGAATATATTAAGAGCTCTGTGATAATTGAAGGAAATGGAGGACCAGGAACTGTCAGGAAGATTACTTTTGTTGAAGGCAAGTGTGTGTGTTAATCTCTACCTGGTTTTTACACTTGAAATTCGTTTAATATAATCTAGCTTTTATTTTTATTTTTTTAAAAAGCTTGAACTTCACCTATTGCTTCAAGTAACAATCTAAGTTTGTTGATCACAGAACATGCATATCTTGATCAAACAAGTAACAATCTAAGTTTTCATTTGCAGGAAAAGGGCTCAATTATGTGAAGCAAAAGATTGAAGCAATCGACGAAGAGAACTTCACCTATAGCTTCAGCGTGATTGAAGCTGATGTGTGGAAGTTCGCCGAAGTTGAGAAAGTTATTTACGAGAACAAGTTTGTGCCTACTCCTGAAGGAGGATCCGTCTGCAAGAGAACCAGCACATATCACATCAAAGGTGATGGTGAGATCAACAAAGATAAAATCAAGGACGTTTATGGCAAGAAGACAGAGGCCTTGTTCAAGGTCGTTGAAGCTTACTTCTTGGCAAATCCTGATGCCTGAATCTGAAAATTTCTAGTTTTTTTGTATTATTATTTGTGTGAGATAATACAGGCGTGTATTCGGTCGCGTGCATTCGGTCTGGCTTTCATGTTTTGCCTTACAATATTTTGTGCTTGGGGTTTTGGTCATACGGTTACTTGTATTGTTTTGAAAAGAGTAAAAGTTGCATAATAAAAATTGTGTTTTGATTGTGATCAAAGGTTATTGAAGAGCAAGAACTCGAGACTTTTCTTCTCCTTTCTTATTTGCAGGATTTAAAAAATCCTTCCAGATTTAGGAGCTTTCCTGGGCATTGATGGCAGAAAGCCAGACAAAACTTCTCCTGCAATCTGGGAGTCTAATTTATATTTTTAGTCACTGTAGTTTACCTGTCCATACCAAGTTACGGTCTGCGCTATTTGTGTAGACATAATCTCATAACAGCTAATTATGTCTATACAAAAAGAATGTAATGCATGAGCCAAAACATAGCGACCGTTGATTGAAAAATGAAATGAGTTAAAGAAGCCAAGTCCAGCAGACCAACAAAATGACAGAGGAGTTTTTTCAGCAGCACACAGGCGATGCCTCATTTGGATCAGCGGGAGGCACTGAAAAAGGTACAAATAAGCATGTACAGAACAAAAACAAAGCAGAATGCGAGTGGGATGATGAGCTGGAATCTGAGATGGTACAAGCATGAACCCTTGACAAAATGGGTGGTCAGCTGCTAAAGCCTGGTAGTAATTCGTCCTGTATAAGAAAAGAAAAGAAGTATGTGAAGCTGCGAAAAGTGCAAGAAGTCTAAATTTAAACAGGCTTTAGCATTAAAAAAATAAAATGCATGGGTAAAAAGAGATCGTGAACAGTTGGAATAGGAAAGATCCCAATTAGAAGTGTGGTAAAAGCCTGAAAAACCATCATTATTTGATAGGATGAAGGAACTTTCAAATGGTAGCTGAAAATTGCTGGGGACAATCATGAAAGAGCTTCAAAATGGGGAGGATCAAAGACCCAACAAAATCAAAAGTGTCACAAAGAGTAAAGAATATTGAGTTCAAGCTCATAAAGTTCGCAATGTTTGCGCGCATTGAAAGGCAAAGCAAACAGCTTTGCAATGTATGAAAATTGCAGGAAATTGATGGACTATGCACATCAAAGAAGGTCAGAAACAAACAAAGCACAGAAAAAAGCAAGTCTGGAGAACCAGGATCAAAGTCTCGCTCAGACAAGTATCCATTTCAAGATGGAGAGTAAGGCTGCAGGAATTGGAAAAACTCATATGCTAGTACGAGATTGCAGTAGTGATCACTTGGAAAATACTGAGAAAAAAACCCAAACCAGCTGAGTTTTTCATGTCACAGAACAGCCATAAAAATAGCATCAGTGTATCCAATCAAACTTGGCAATCACGCAACACATATCGACAGAAAGTTACAGAGCCAATTCATACTTGCCAATGGGAAAAGCAAAATGGAATGTGGAAAAAGCTAACAAAAAAGCATTCGTGCAAATAAAAGTTGCCCAGCAAAAAATATAGTGATGAAATCAACCTTGTGCTGCTGCAGAAAACTCCATGAATGTGCAGCAACTAAATCTTAAACTTCAAGGAGCTGAAGTGTTTTCCACCTGAAAAATTTATGTAATAGAGAATTTCAAACATAACAAAGGCTATATGCTTGAGAAAAGGAGAGGAATCAACTTCTACTTCCACCTAGACCCATGCCTGAAACAATTTATTCAAAAGCAGGTATAATCTGAATAGTCAAGGACCGTTCAATCTCATTAAAATACTCAATTTATCAGTATCATAACTGATATTTGATGACATGGTCCTCAACTTTCCATTTTAAAACATCTATGTAGATGCACTACCCAATTATGGTCTAGCCCCATTAATGTAAAGAACAAACTATTAACAAATACTTTGAAGAACAGTGAGATTAGGTGTGCAAATGAACCAAGATAATTAATTGGCGAAGAAAGTTTTGAATAAATTTTATTCTGAAGCGATGTGCGTCCTTAGAATGTTCTGAATAAATTTGGTGGATGAGAACATCACACACAACTGTCGAACCCTTTCCCATTCATATATGCAACCCCGAAACTTTCTAAACCTCAACTGAACCACTCCCAAATCAATGAAACAATAAGCCAAGACCATGTATCCTAGTCAAAAACACAAATGCATCCATACTAATGCAGAGTAGGCCTAACAAGATTCCCAAACCATGAAGATTGGAAGCCCCTAAAAAAACAACAGACATCCCTTTTCTTGAATAGTGCAACTGTTTCTAAAAAAAAGAGCCATGATATCAGCGCACAAAGAAACAGTTGCGTACCTGAAATTTAGACTTGGAGCATGAAGCAGATGAAATCAACCCAATGAATCTGCATCGTCAACGAACAGCTGCCGAGGTTTTTTTTTTTTTTTTTCCTCACAGACCAAAGCAATCCATGAAATTGGATGAAGCAGATGAAATCAACGAACAGCTGCCGAGGTTTTTTTTCCCCTCACAGACCAAAGCAATCCATGAAATTGGAATAACTGCTTAAGCACAAAACGTCTACTTTATTTTGGGCTAGCTAAGAACATCACTCCGCAAAAAACCAACCCATTCCCATCCACATATACAACCCCAGAACTGCAAAATCCAAACAACATCAGCGCAACCCTCTCCGGATAAATGTTCAATGAGAAACCAGCCAAGACCATGTATCCTAATTAAAAAAACATAGCTGCAGTCACACAGATACAGAGTATACCTGACAAAACTCCCAACCCACCAATAATGGAGGCCCCTAGAAAAACCACAGACCAAACACCAGGCCCGTGTCCTGAACAGTCTAGTTGATTTTGAAGTAAACATGTGCTAACCCATCTATCTAAAACCTAGAAAGAAATCAAAACAGAAGAGAAAATCAATAGAGATCATGGTAATTAGGGTTTTTAGATAAAAGAAACTCATAATCCAGAAACCATCTCTCGCCAAGCGAGTCCATACCTCCGAGGCGCCTCACTGCTTCTGAAGTCCATGAATTCATATAAACAAAGATGTGAGTACGATAATGCAATTATCCCAATATTAAACTATGCTAATAGTTGTAGTTACTTTCCAGACCTTATTGCTTTCAATTTAAGACATAATTATATCTCATGTAGAAGGAAATCCAATTCAAACTAAATTTTGGACCAATCAATTTACTTTTAAAAAATATTTACAAGTACTGGATTTGGATCCCTGCAACTAGTTCTTCAAGGCTTCGGACCGGCTGCTCGAGGGTCCCATTAGCGAAAACACTCCACTGTTTATATAAATAGTGAATTAAGTTGGTATATTTTTTTTATTGTTTTGATAACAATTTTCTTGTTTTAGCTAAACTGACTATTGTCATAGATAACAATTTTTTTAATAATAAACAAGATGTTGTTTATGAGTTAAAAAAAAAAATAGATAACACCAGCTTAGGCATTGTTGTAATACGTCTTTTAAGTTTTCTGGTTTTTTTAATTTTTTTGTTCTGTTAATTGAGTTTCTATTTAATTTTATTATTTAGTATTTAATTTATTATAAATTAATTTTTATATTTTTTATAAAATATTAAAATAAAAAAATAAAAAAATAATTCAATCTGATAAAATTATTAAGTTGATTTAATTAGGGTTAATCAACCTTTTTATTTTTAATTTGTTCAATTAATAATATTTAATTTAATAAAAATAACAAAAAGAATTATTTTACCCAAATATTTTTATTTTTTACATTTCAAAATATTTTGATAGAAGCCGCGATAAGAGCGAAAAATAAACAAGTTTAAACTTGTGTTAAAGTAAGCTTTTCTATTTAAACTTGTGTTTAAGGTTTTGAGCCCAAGCGTTTCTCATGTCTTGACAATTTGACAGTGCATACGGTATTATGATAGTTATTATAGTAATAATTTTTAAAAAATTATTTTATAAAAATTATTTTTTGGTAAAATTAATTTGATATTTATGTATATTTAGTTAAAATTGTGGTTAAAATTGAGATTGAACATAAAACAGTTTAATATGTTTGGTTAATAATATTTTTAAAATTAAGGTTATAAAATAATTTTAAAAAATATATATTAATATTGATAGTTTTTAATTTAAATATTGTAGATTTAACTATTGTTATTATATTATGAAATAAATAATACTTTATATAAAATATTTTTTATTGTTCCATTAATCTATTTACAATTCCATCACATATGAAATACATCTAAAAAGGACTATAATTTTTTATTTTTTTGTTTCTTTAGTGTATAATAACATCATATAAAATATAATCAAGAAGAAAATTGGGATTACGATCAAATTCTGTAAATGATGCGTCATAAAGCAATCTCTGTATAATTTATGTAGTGTTATTGAATAATGTTAAGTACTGGAATTTCAAATAAAACACAATTAAAAAACAAAAAATAATTTCTTTTTTATTTTACTAGGTCATAAATTTTGAGTTTTGAATTGGAACAGGTCCAACTAGAAGAGTAGAGCTGGCTACACTGGTTACATGAACAGTATAATCATATTCCATGCATACTAATTAATTAGTATAAACGATAGATAAAAATAGTATTTCTAGAAGCATCATTATATACAATGTTGTAACACAATTGAAACAAAAGCAACATAAGTCAAGTTCTTACCATAAATGCTAGTTTGCGTGGGACTTTCTAGTTGTCTTCTTTACAAGGAATCAAAGATGATGCTTTATAATTGTAATTATAATATTTATTCTTTGAATTGTTTTTGTTGCTTTTTTTTGTTACAATAAAAAGACTCGAATCGAAAAAAAAGGGTTATGGGTGTCAATTTAATTACAAATTTATTAAGACCTACTTGGCATTGTTCATATATATTATCATTCACCAACTGATTAGTACTTAAAAGTGCATTTATATCATGGTTGTCTATCATTATTTTGCACTTGAAGTATCAATAACTCCTTAACTAAAACATGTTTTATACTAATATATCTAATAATATAAGATACCTTTAATTTGTGGTAAATGTTCATTTTAAATGCAGGCCTATCACATAAATGAAAGGAATGATTGATGA